TCAACTGCTGGGGTTGTTTGAAAAAAGCGGAAATAATTCAGACGGGAGGACTGGAAGGATTCCAGCGTCGTCTTCTTTTTTAAGGGCCCTGACTTATCTGCACACAGTCCTTTGGGCTGGAGCCTTTCCTTTTGTTGTTTTAGTCCAACCATGCAATTAAAAGCTTCTTTCCACCGCTATTAACTGTATATTAATGAGTTTTTCAGATATATACAAAAAGGCTGGTCAGAATCCAACTCTCTGGCTGGTCCATCTGTGTTGGAGCCACAGACAGCCTGTGTGTGCATACTCAACAGCTCACAAAGGGCTGGAAGGAACGAATGGTGTTTGTCTCATGAGAACTAAATATTCATGGCTGAAATATAAACCCCACCATATAGACAATTACCATAAATTGTGGGCCATTTCTTTTTCCATCTTCGGCAAGAAGTACTGTAAACTTTTGGCCATGTCTGCCGTTTAAAAGTAGAAATAAATAGATTTGCAAACCTTCCAAATAACGTTTCAGATCTGCAGATAGAGCACGGTGAAGTAATGGGCTGTTTTCACTTTGCTCTCCTATTGAGATTAGCTCCAGATTAATATTGTATTTCTCCATGCATATAGACGGGGCATGTCACAACAAACTTACATTAGGGAAACTGATGCATCCACTCCACTTCACGTAATGGCCGAGACTTGTCCGCCACTTGAAATATATCCTGTCTCCTTTTGCCACCACCTCCCACATCACTCATATTATCTGGATTACCTTTAAAGGCAGCATTGCTTAGAAGCCTTTTACATTTGCTAGTTAAGTGCTTTGGAATGTCTCTCCCACTGTTTTGGTGCACTCTTACAATGTTTTATGCTATGTTCCAAACTGCTGTTTGGATGGTTTTATGGCTGCTGAAGTGGTTTTACTGCTAGTTGGGCCAACTTTACTTGGGCTGGTGGGTTTTATTTTGTTTTACATTGTGAATGCATCAAGCAGTTTCTGAAAAGTTTCTGAAGAATATATATATATTTCCTCAAAAAACAAAAAATGTCACATGAAAATATATTTTTAACTGTGTTTTCCTAAACTGATTAACATGGACTTACTATCCCATTTCAACCTTTTTTTTGGAACAGGGTTTCTACCTATCACATTTTTAGTCTTCTACCTATGTTTTCCTATTTCCTTCACTATCCCTTTGGGGGAAGAACTTGTGAATTATTCAGAGTCTTCATCAGTTTTTTAAAATCTAAATTGACGTATTACATGCACTAATTGTTGTCTGACTCATCGCAACCCCATAGACCACATCATGACAGGCTCTCCTGTCTTCTGCCATCCTCTGCAGTTTGCTCAATTTCATGTTCGTTGCATCGGTAACACTGTTTTGCTGTCCCCTTCTTCTGTTACCTTCGATCTTTCCCAACATCAGGGTCTTCTCCAGTGAGTGTTCCCTTCTCATTTGGTGGCCAAAGTATTTGAGCTTCAGCTTCATTATCTGGCCTTTCAGGGAACAGTCAGGGTTGATCTCCTTTACTATTGACTGATTTGATCTCCTTGCAGTCCAGGGACTCTCAAGAGTTTGCTCCAGCACCATAATTCAAAGGCATCCATTCTTCGGTGCTTGGCCTTCCTTATGGTCCAACTCTCACAGCCGTACATTACTACTGGGAATACCATCGCTTTGACTATGCGGACTTTTGTTGGCAGTGTAATGTCTCTACTTTTTATTATACTGTCTAGGTTTGCCATAGCTTTTCTCCCAAGGAGCAGACGTCTTTTAATTTCATGGCTGCAGTCACCATCTTGGATCTCAGGAACATGAATTCTGTCACTGCTTCCATTACTTCCTCTTCTAGTTGCGAAGGGCTGATGGGGCCAGATGCCATGATCTTAGTTTTTTAATGTTGAGTTTCAAGCCAACTTTTGCGCTCTCCTCTTTCATCCTGAACAAGAGGCTCTTTAGGTCGCAAGATGGAATTAAGATTGCCGGGAAAAACATCAACAACCCCGGATATGCAGATGATACCACTCTAATGGCAGAAAGTGAAGAGGACCTAAAGAGCCTCTTGCTCAGGATGAAAGAGGAGAGCACAAAAGTTGGCTTGAAACTCAACATTAAAAAACTAAGATCATGGCATCCGGCCCCATCACTCCTTGGCAAATAGAAGGGGAAGTCCTGGAAGCAGTGACAGAATTCACATTCCTGAGATCCAAGATGGTGACTGCAGCCATGAAATTAAAAGACGTCTGCTCCTTGGGAGAAAAGCTATGGCAAACCTAGACAGTATAATAAAAAGTAGAGACATTACACTGCCAACAAAAGTCCGCATAGTCAAAGCGATGGTATTCCCAGTAGTAATGTACAGCTGCGAGAGTTGGACCGTAAGGAAGGCCAAGCACTGAAGAATAGATGCCTTTGAATTATAGTGCTGGAGCAGACTCTTGAGAGTCCCTTGGACTGCAAGGAGATCAAATCAGTCAATCGTAAAGGAGATCAACCCTGACTGTTCCCTGAAAGGCTAGATACTGAAGCTGAAGCTCAAATACTTTGGCCACCAAATGAGAAGGGAGCACTCACTGGAGAAGACCCTGATGCTGGGAAAGACTGAACATAAAAGAAGGGGACGGCAAAGGATGAGATGATTAGACAGTGTTATCGTTGCAATGAACATTAAATTAAGCAAACTCCGGAGGATGATGGAAGACAGGAGGGCCTGGCGTGATGTGGTCCATGGGATCGCGACAATTCAGACTCGAATGTGTGACTGAGCAACAACAACAACAGCATGGCTGCAATATCCATTTAACAATACAGGAAAGATCCAATCACAACCTTCCAGTGCCTAAATCATGACAAATTAGTAGTAATATTTAAAGCCTTACATGGACTGGGACCAACATATCTGAGGGACCGTCTTTTCCCGTACATGCCTTAGAGAGCGTTACACTCTATAGATCAACACTTCATGGTGGTCCCTGGCCTTTGCCTGGTGGAACATGCTCCTTATTGAAATCAGGGCCCTACGGGACTTCCTTCCATTCCGCAGGGCCTGCAAGACAGAGCTGTTCCACCAGGTCTTCAGATGTGGCAGCGGATGTCCATATATGGCCTCCCTGAGATTCTGTCACCCATCTGATAACAGCTATTACCAATGAGCCAAGGAACCTCTCGTAGCCAGTTAATCTCTGTTTGAACTGTGTCTTCCATCTTAATGTTTATTATTTGTTTTTAAATTTTTAACTATTTTATTGTATTTTACTGGAATGTTGTTACCCACCTAGAGCCCGCTTGCGGGAAGGGCGGGCTACAAATACAGTAAATAAATAAATTACTAAGACAGTACATATAAGTAAGTAACAGTGCAATCCTGAGCAAAGTTACACTCTTCCAGGGGCACTGAAGTCCCAAAGAAGACAGAGTTTGAGCACCATAGTATATCATGCTGTTTAATCTCTAATTTGAAAAAGTTGGTTTAAATCATATGGTGTATTGCAGGCACATCAATTCTAGAAGCCTGTGAATTGCATTACTGGAAAAATAATACACAACATACCTGTGATAAGAAGAACCCTACTGGATAAAACCAATGGGCTGTCTACTCTAGCATCCTATTTTGCACAATGACCAATCTGTTGCCCTGGAAGGCAAACAGGCTCCGAGATCAATGCCTTCCCCTGATGTTGTCTCCTAGCCCTGGCATTCAGAAGTTTACTGCCTCTGAATGTGGAAGTTTCCTCTCATTATCGAGGCTAATAGCCAGTGATGGAACTATCCTCCACAAATCTCTTTAATCCCCCCATTAAAGCCATCTAAAGCCATCTCTGATTACTGTGTCAATCATGGTGCATACCTGAAAACAAGAAAGTTGTTTTGGTTCTCTCTCTGTGTATGTGTCTTGCACACACATGTGCAAGGAAATAAGTGTCGTATTAAGACATGTTTACCTTTACACTAAAATGTGCAAGAAGGACAAATCATCATTAATTCTCCATTGTAATACTCTTGTTGAAAGGAAAGAGGGATCGTGTACAACTTGGATTCATTTCTGCATGGCTCACATTGGAGGCCATCCCGGCAAATTGTGCTCTTCAATACCCAATACAATGATACACTGAAGTGCAGCCTCTTTCCAGGCAACTGTTTACAAAACAGATGCCTTGACTATTTTTATTGATACACTATAACATAATATAACAAGATGCTCACATAATGTTCAAAAATCAGTTTGTATGTAGCCCATCTCTAACACTGCAAGTGTGGGTGCCGTGTACCTTTTAAATGATAAGAACCCACCTTTCCACCAGCAGGACCATCATTGATTTCATCTGAAGTACCATCAGTGGTACTACATGTAAAACTCAGTCAGAGCTATCTTGCCTGTTCTGTTGCAATACTGGTGATTTTCTGAGACAAAAATAAAATGTACATATTCTTACAAGTGATCCATCAGTAGATCAGTAAACTGCTATCAATAAAATTGACTAACTGACCCCTATGTGATTACCCACTGACATTTCAGAAAATATTTCCTGATGTGTGAAGTCAGAATTCTTCCCTACTTGTGAACAGCTGTAATTCACAATTCTTCTTAAGTTTGCTGTTGGGTCAGCTTTATTTGTTTAATTATTTCTTTATTTTGTGTGTGCACATTCCTGGATGCAAAGATTGAACACGTGTTTCATATAGAAAACAATAGGGAAGAAACTGGAGAATTAGTGTTGCATTCTCCTTTCAAAGAATCCCAGCTTGCTTTCTCTACTATAAAATCAAAACATGGCAAACAGCTAATAAAATCTTTGTGACAGAGCCCTTAAATGTGCAAAAACAAGTAATTCTTATGACGTGTCCAAATGCAAAGATCCAAATCAGGGTTTCTCTCTTTTTATATAAATAATTTATAAATTTTCCTGTAAGAGGCTAAATACAAAAGCATTTTGAGAAATTATTAAAGCCATATTTTGCCTTTAATACAAAACAAACAGTAAAGATTGAAGAGACGATCCCATTATCAGTCCTGGCTTGAAGCGTTAGGGACGTGTTTGTACGAAACATATTTCTTTTAATTTTTTCCCCTTTTCCAGTCAAGTTTGAGTGACGACTGTATGCAAAGTCCATTGGTCATTCAATCATCCATTTCTCTTGGGCAACAATCAGGGCATCTGCTCAATGGAATCTAAGTGGTCTGGGATAGGAAGGCCCGTAATAATTGTCAAACACTTATTCCAGACAGTGAATGTTGGACACACAGGCTGTGCAAATGAAATGTCAAAAGTGTAAAGGTGTAGAGAGTTCAAAGCATCATAAAAAGCCAAAGAACCATTGTCGTAGTCCAACAAAATGCCGACACGGCGAAGATGGGGTGCGGGCTCTATTGGAATTTCTTTGCTGTTGTGCCTCACCACCCACGCATTATTACAACGACAAAGAACCCAAGAGGCAGAATTCTTTCCAATCCACTCATGTTTCGGTGCTGACTTATAAGAAATACCAATGGCATACCTGCAAAACAAGAGAGTTCGGAGAAAATATGAACGCTGTGCCTTTTTCTACAGGTCAGTCTGTCTGCCCTGATGTAATATTTTGGGTTTTTTTGTTTATGTTAACAAAAAATGCCAGCAACATTTAATGTTCTTCCTTACACTCACATGCTCCCAAATATTCTTCACTGTTATAATGCTATATAATTCAGTCAGAACACCCAGCAATGAAAAATTCTGACATCGAGAAAATCGTTCAGGACTAACCCTTTAGCAGATAATAACTGCTAACAGAGTATCTTTCCATCCTGTGTGATGGCACCAAGCTTTCCCAGGTACCATCTAGCATAGGGTTGCCAGCTTCGGGTGAAGCCTGGAGTTCGGCTGGAATTACAACTGATCTCTGGACTACAGAGATCAGTTCTCCTGGAGGAAACAGCAACTTTGGAAAGCGGACTCTATGGCACCACATCCCCACTAAGCTCCCTCCCCTCTCCAAACTTCTCCTTCCCCAGGCATTGCCACCAAATTGCCAGGATTTTCCTAAGCCACAGCTGGCAACTATACTCTTGCGCCATTATTTTGGTTCCTATATATCCACTGTCTTGTTCTCCCTCAAGCAGTCCCTGTAGTTCTTTGAACATCAATGGCTTCTTTCCCACTTAGTAGAGCTTGACTCTGAGGCATTCAGCTTGCTGTATAGCAATCTCACTGTGGCTCCTTGAGATTCTGTAGGAGAAGCCTAGAACAGCCCTGGGGAATCAGCTAAGCCTCACCATATCTGTTTCAAAGTCAACAGTTCACTAGTAATGTTTCCGCTCTCTTGGTGTGCTTTCAGCCTCCCAGGGTGAGAGATGGGGGGATGTCCAGGATTGTTCTTTGGTGCATTATGCCCACTTTGCATTAAGGTTGGCAGGCTGGGGCTTGGCCTGAGAGAGAGCTTTCGGAGGTGGGCAGAGATCACACGGGCATCAACGTCACTTCCAGAAGTGATGTTGACACACTGCGCAACTGTCCAGCAATCTCTTTATGGTTTTACCACAGGGATTTGGGAGATTGCCAGATAGTTGTGCAACACATTAACGCCACTTCCAGAAGTGACTTTTCACATTCATGCAACATCATTTTCTTTTCTCTCTGTTTTTCTCCCACTGCTCAACTGAATGGCAATGGGGAGACAAGCTTTTAGGTTGTTTTTGGATCAATTATATGATATAGTTCAATGGGCAAGCTTTAGAACACTTATTTATTTTCATTTAAGAAATGGAAATATTTTAAACTTCTCCAGTCCCAGTCAAAGAAAACATCTACAGATGGATATGGTTTGACCAACTTACCATGTACTTCCGCTTATAACCACTTCCCAGTAATGCCGTCCACTGTCAATAAACACATTGCCAGCAACTCCATAGCTCCCTTGGCTGGTAAAACGCTCAGGTGTGTGGCTCTTTTTAGAAGAAGTTTCATCACGTTCCACTGTCAAATTGTCATGAGATACCTTTAGTTTTCTGTGAGCAGACTTGGGATCCAGTTTGAATGGCTGGCCTGAAAATGAATGGAAGAAAGCACACATTGAATGTAATAAAAGAGTACTGGATCACTGAACCCAATGGTGAACAGGGTGGACTTGTTTTGTCCCTGTTATAACGTTACGCTCATGTACAGTCTTTGACTTTTCACCATAGCAGTTAAAACCTGAAATTTATTTACACAGGACAAAACAAAAGAATACAGCAACATCTGGCCTCCTGTTCCCTAGTCATTGGCATCCTGTTCAGAGTTATTAGGCACTGGGGAAAGCCCAGTCTTTATGGATGTTAGCACTTCCACCCCACACTTCAGGATGTCTGAACTCCCCTGTTGCGAACTCAAGCCAATTGGAGAAGTGTGAACCTTCCTGTTCGTTTCTGCCCTTCTCCCCTTTTTGATCAGGTAGCAACATGTGCATAAGCACCCCTGGAGTTGTCAATCACTGCTTGTACATCCAAGTGGCCAATTATTCATTCTGGATCGGGAGCCCCCAAGGAAGTTGTTTTTCCATGACAAATCATCTCCCAAATCCCCTTCTCCTGTTTCTGCTTCAGAGTTGTTGTTTGAGAGCATCCCATGATAGACACAAGAGTAAATATACTGAAGTCAATGGGACTACTCTCATGTAAATCTGTATGATACTTGTACTCCCCACCCCCAGTATTTCAATGAAGAGCGGCAAGGCAAAGGAAGCTGAGAGGGGCCACAGTACTTAGCAGAGGGATCACAGAGCTGTCACAGTGGAGTAGTGCATTGAATGAATGCTTCTGTGCATGCACAACAGACAAGTTTTAAAAAGGATGCTGCCTGACCACCCACTCCATGGTTAGGCAGGTTCAGGGTGGGATGTCTGATCAAAACTCTACATTACAAAAAAAAAACCTGGATTAATTAGAGGCGGGGCCAGAGTGTGCCAAGCCTGTCATCTGACCGCAGCCAGAGTGTTGTCACACCATGGCCCATTCCAAACTAGGCAGCCTGGCAACACGGGACACTTGATCATGATTCTACTAGTGTGCCATTTAGTTTGGCCCTTATGAATAGCAAATGATGTGAAACGGAAATGCAATGTTGCATTTGGCTTTCAAGGAAATAAGAGGATTAAAAAAGAAACAGAGAAAATATGAACTCTTAAAGATTCAAAACTAACAAAATCTCCCTTCAGTATTTTTTGCTAACTTCCTTAACACTTTTGATATCTGAGAACTTAAATAAACTTTCCAAAATGAGATGCTGACATGCCGAAAGATTTTAGCAGCCATTCCTGATAAACAGAAGAGACGGCATTCATCTGAGGAAATGCCTGAAAGTGGAAATCAGCAATGCTCTATGCCTTTCAAGTGCCAAGCTGAATGCAATTGAGATGGAGAGAAAATAAAGTGCACATAGGATGGGTGAAAATGATATTACTCACTATTTGTCTTCAGTTTCCCAGGCTCGCTGTTTCGGCTGCCAGCCTGATTAATGGCCTTCACAACAAAGATGTACTTGGTGCCACTCTGCAGCCCATGCACCGTGTAGTGGTTTTGTTTAATATTTGGAACAATCATCCAGCTGTCGGCTGAATTACACAGACCTGTAATTTCAAATCAAACACATGAGTTGCTTTAAGGAGGAAACTCCTCAATGCCCCTGAACAATTATATGAGCCTGAACACAGTCTTGAGCAATACAGAAGAAAATAAGGTATTTGCTTATTAAAATGGCAAAGACCTTGCCAAATGATTCATCAACTTTTCCACTGACTATGGGCCAGTTTACACTTTACTTCTCAGATTCAGGTACAAGCATTTAAGTCATAAAATACATGTCCAATGTTGACAATTGTTAATAGTGCAAGCATGTTTATTAGTTGTAGATTTTCTGGGCTGTATTTTTTTGCTCACTTCCTTAACACCTACTCCGGAAAATCTACAACAACGAATGAACTCTAGGCATGAAAGCCTTTGACAACATATCAAGCATGTTTAAGTGGCCATTTTAACGTGGGTGTGCTGTTCACAACAGAAGGAGCCATGCAGATGAATGGGCCATTATTTACCTGTCTGAATCCAAATGAGTTGTAAAATCTAAGGATATATGAATGATAACATTAAATGAAACTTCCCTTACATGAAGAATTTAACAAGCAGATGCTAGAATGCTGTAGAAACGTCATCTTCTCATTATTAAAGGTTAGACTGTTGCTCTATGTAGCAGTCAAGAAAACTCAGGTGAGACTGAAGGTCCTAATTCACAGTAGCCACTGAACCAACCCAAGCCTTTTAGCTGCTTTTGTCCCTCTTCTCCGGTGGACTGCCAGTCTACTCTGTAGCTTTTATGTTCCCCCTAAGCTGTTGTTGGGTCTTGTGAGCAAAAATTCTACTTCGTGAGCAAGCCTACATTTTGTTGTGAGTGATCCTACATTTGACTGCTTAAATTAGTTTGAGTCTTGCTGAGACTCAACAAGGACAAGCCACATAGCCTAAGATTCTTAGCTGGAAGCCCAGGAGAGATTGTTTGACTGCAGGTTTCCATGGCCCAGATCTTATGCACTGAAGCAGTATCTCTCAGCATCACATACACTCTACAAATGCCCATTGGGTTCAACACTTGTACCACTAAACTCAGAAGAAAAGTCATTTGAATTAATGGCAATAAACAGGCCTTGTACATCCAAACCCTTGCACAGCAAATATTTAAAACTTAACAGAAACTATACAGATGAGTGATTATGCATTCACTAGTGAAGCCTGGGTATCTGACAATCTTAAAAAGCATACCACCAGAATTTCAAAAATCAGATCTGTCAAATGCAGTCACGAGATGGCTGAATATCATGGCCTTGCACATTCTTGGTATTTTACAAGCCACAAGAATTATACATAGCCACCTCAGCTATAACACACATAACTGGCCACTAAGCTTGTTATATATTACAAATACATGCTCAAACCAGTCTTAATGAATTCTACCATCAATTAGAAGACGTCTGACAAAAGCAGTATTTACAAGTAGGGTATCCAAAGGGCTCACCAAAAAGATCGCCAGAAGAAGCAGCAGTTGTGCAGCCTGGAGGAGCAAAACTTTAGAGCTGGCAAATAGCACCCTCTGCCAACTGCCATTGCAGAAAGCGTACTATGCAGCTAAAAAAAAAAAAAAGCTCCAAGATCAAACGGCTTTTGGGTAGAGGACTCTGAAACCACCACCCCACACACACTGTAGGGAAGCTACAGCTTGGCTCCTGATAAGAGATAAAAGAGGGATTTCTTACCACCCAAACAAGAAATAGGTGAGGCTGGAGAAGGAAAGAGCTGACACCAGAGGAAAGAAGGAGGAAAATTTCACTTGGCGAGGGAGGGGAGGGCAGGGTGGGGAGGAGAGAAGAGTGGCGGGGCAGACTCGGAAGCCAGCCAGAACTGTGTTCCGGTGCGTTCCTGCCCCAAAATAGCCCTGCTTGTAGGAAACGTTGCTGGAGGACTCACAATCTTGAGTGCAGAATTAATGGACACAACTGTCTAAAATAAAATAAGGAAAAGGATGAACTGTTCATAGGAATGAGTGATGGAAGGAACCAGTTGAAATTAAGAACAAAGATGACTTGGGTTGCTTCTCAATTAAGAGAAAAATCACCCCAAGGAGGAAGTTAATGGCTGGGCCAAGGACAAACCTGCACCCCAGAAAAAGAAGCACCACCTGAGAATGAACAAATAAGAGGTTCATTTGCAGAGGTTTAAATAAACATTACTTGGGACCAAACATCTTCTGAGAACAGCTTACAAACAAAAGGCAGCCTTGGACGTTACATGTCAGTATAAGTCATTTGTGGTCCTTTTTCTTCACTTTGCTACATAAAATCTGAAGTGGGAATGTGTGTACTTCTCCAAAAGAATGATGTACGAACTCTACACAGTCTGAAGCTTACACATATCATATTAATTTATAAAGAAGCTGGACAGGATTCAACAAAGGACAAACAAATTGATGCACTGTCTCTCACATCCTGCATTTCCTTTGACCTCACTGGAATATGGTCAACACATTATGATATGTTGGATAAGTTGTACTGGGAATTTTATATCTCAGTCCTATAAGATCTTTGTGTTTTGACTGCCATGAGAAAGAAAGTGGTCTCAACTTAGTTTTGTGTATTTCTGTTACAATTTTAATCCATGAAGGAAAATTAACATCTCATAAATTCCCTTACATAGTGGACTAGGTTGTATTTCCATTCTCCTTTTCTAGATGAACACATGCAGAAGATGGTTTAGGCCTGGGGAATTTGCACTATCCTGGCAACATTGGACCAGGCACCATTTTAGATGATTTCCAGTTTTATTATATTATGAACCATAGGGATAACAGCAGAATAACAGCTGTGAAGTACTACTGTTTCTAGTTAATTCAGGTTTCTGATTTCAAAAACTTGTGCTTTGAAGCAAGGAGAATAACTTCCCATATGTGGCACAATAATGCACTTTTAAAGCTGTAGTCTTGAAAATGTATGGAATGTAAATTAGTAACTGGAATAGTGTGTTGACTATAATGAGGTATCAAGCAGGTTTTGTGAGATACTGGGGAGAAGGAAATAAGGAGGATCTCTCTCTTCCTCTCTCTTCCATTTTTACAATCTGGAGGTAATAATTCATAAAACCTTTTCTCCAGGGTTTGCTGCTGTTGAAGTTCAAAAAACAGATGAGGAAAATATTCTAACAGCAAATCTTTCTAATATTTGCAGAGGGATCCAGAAAAACAATGAAGTACATCAGTTGTATAAAAGTCACAGGAAGGCTATATAATCTCCTGAGCACTTAAAGTGTTTAAAACTTCATGGAAATGTTACAAATGTCACAAAAATGGGGGGGGGGTGTAGCTAGAGAAAGTGATAGACATATGATGCTTCCTCCTCAGAATTCCCTGGTGGAGATATATAAATTTGGCAATGTGATCTTTTGACCTAATTAATAAAAATGAAGTTCTTTTTATATGCTTGTAAATTAAGGTCTGCAAATACTGAGAAAATGCATCCAAAGGCAATACTTGAAATACTGTACAAAACTGTATAAATAAAATGACAGTTAGGGCTAGATTTTACACAAGACTAATATGGGAATAGTTCCCATAGAGGAAATATAAAAGAAAAACGTTACAAGGAAATGCAAAATCCATATGGAATTTGCAGGAAAGATCCATAAGTGATATATTTTCTGTAAAAGCTATGTAGATTCTGTGATTTGGCCCAAAGTTTTCCCTGTACCACTCCAGTAAAACTGATTCCAAATGCTCATCTGGGTGAAAGCTGTTAAACAAAACTGGCTGATGCCGCTGTCAAAAACCCATAGAACTCTCATTTTTAACTACGAAGGACAGAAGTCCACAAGGGAAGCCTACTTCAATAAATTTTGGCTAGAATGCTAAAAAGTAACAATCCACAGATCAGAAATCTCATAGAGTTTGTTCACAGAAAAGTCATTGCCAAAATAGGTATGTATGTTATTCACACATGATTGCAGATACATATTGTATGTACTAGGACAATCCAGAGTGAAGGAACCTGCAGTCTGTTAGCTGGTGAGATGGAACAGTAGTACTAAAATACAACCACTGATGGATGAACTGCACTCTCTAAATGCAGATCATCACTACTATTATATTTTAATATTTTTTAAAACAACAACAGCAACATAGTGAACACTAAGGTAACAAGAGGACAATTTTTACAAAATGGAGGAAGGCAATTTTATGGCACTCTTTTTTAAAAAAATGAACTCCAGTTTGTTTCAATTAGAGTGGAAAATGACAATCTCTTTCAAATAAGCATCCATATGGGAAATAGGGTTGCCAGGTCCATCTTTGTCCCCAATGGGGGACTTTGAGAGGCGTTCCTGGAGGGGGCAGGGCATCCCCAACATGATTACGTTACGTTGCGGATGTCCTGGCTCCAAGCACTGCCCCCACAGGGATGGTCACACTGGCTGTGAACATTTAAAGGGGTCCCTTTAAGTGCCCACAGCCAAAGGGCCCCACCCGATTTCCAAGTGGCATTACCACTGGGAGATCGGGTGAGCAGGGCCCTGTCCCACTGGCTGCAAGCACTTAAAGAGGTCTCTTTAAGTGCCCACAGCTGGAGGGCCCCCCCCACCTGGAGATCGGGCGAATGGCCCGCAACCACCCCTCTCTCTTCTCTCAAGAGAGAAGTAAGAGGGGTGGTTGTGGGTATTGGGGCTTGAGGGCAGGGCTTCCCCACCAGCCAGCTGGCCAGGCTGTGGGTAGAACCCTCCAAAAAGCAGGTAACCCCCACCAAACCGGGGGGGGGGGGTCTGGGAACCCTAATGAGAAAAGAGGTACTGCTTTAAATATGTCATTTTTGTTCTCACAAGGTAGAGCAAAATTTTGCAAACAGCAAGAAAACGAAACCAATCAGGAAACCAACTGTCCAAACATTCTTAAACGCAGCTCACAGCCTGACAGTGGATGACTTTCAGCAGCAGAAGCATTCGATACACTAGTACCAGCACTGAGCCCTCATCCCAGTGTCAACAGGAAACAAAGGCAATGGATCTTTACCAGTGGTTCTTATTAGTCATTTGTAGACTGAGGAGTAGGGAATGGTAGGTAGCACAATCCTATGCTACCAGTTTCATGTAGGATGGGATTTTTCAGGGCAGAGCAGGCTATGTCTGAACCACTGTAGAAAGTCTTCATTAGATCTGTGCTGCAGCAGCTAAAACCAAATCATTGCATTCAAGCTGCTTGATAAAATAGTCAGGTTGCTTCCAAACGTTCAGCCTTAGGGCAAAAAAAGCAAAGGAAACAAAATTCTACAGAAGGACCAAGACCCTTGGTGTGCATTAGAGATCTTTCAAAAAAGGCAAACAAACCCTACTAGATGTTGTAATTGGCAATGACTCCTAGTCCTGACAACTAAAATAAATTATTATGAAGGATGTATAAGGTTGAGAGAGAAGTTGCAAGCAACAGAAAGGGCAGAGAAAGGATACATTCAAGAGAATCATGAAGCAGAGAAAAAGACATAGTGGGAGGGCAACCAAGTGTTACTGGGCTTCCTAATCTGGGACTCTTTTAAAGATTTTCTGTGAGGCATAATAGCAGCTGCAGTGTGGGGCTTTCATAGACTGTTTAACCTGCAATCACATCGGAGGCGTGCATATTGCTCACAACAGATTAATCTGCTTTAGGAAGGACTTGGCAATGCTAATGTGGAAAGAAGTCATACCATGGACCCCTCCCATATGACTAACACCTTTTGACACATGGGGGACTGCACCTGCACAGGTCTCCTGTGGAGATCTATTTACTAAAGCTCTCTAGAATGTTCAGAGTGTTCAGCCCCCTCACATCATGGGCGCCTTCCTACCCAGTTGACACATGACAGGGTGGGGTGAGCACTCCTTCCCTCAATCCTTTCTCACCACTGTGGAAGGACCTCAAGAGCTTGAGGAATCCACAGCAGGGAAAGGAGGGAGGGATGTGTGGCTTCACAAAAGAGCACTAGATGAAAAACAGTTACAGGTAAGTGCAACCTTGTTTTCATCTTTGTGGCTTCTGTGCAGTCCCACATGGGAGAACAGCAAGTTCACTTACAGGTAGGAATTGGGAGTGGGATCCTTAGCAAAATAAGGACTAAAGAACCACTTTCTCCACAGTTGCATCCCGTCTAGAATTGACATTGACTGCACAGTGCTTGATGAACATTGATGAGGACCGTGCAGATGCTATCCAAGGGGAAATTGCCAAGGAAGGCTGCAGAGGCGGACTGAGACCTGGCTGAGTGAGCCCTGAGATGGAGAGGGCAATCGACCTCAGAGGTGGTGTATGCCAGTTGGATGGCTTTGACATCAGTGTTCCCTCTAAGCTGAGTGAGTGTGAGCTAGCTCACAGTTTTTTTGCCTCCGGCTCACATGTTTTTGTCTTGGCTCAGGAAGGGTGGCTCCAGAGCAAACTAATTGATGCAGCAGCCCAATCGCTGGCTCACAACTTCAAGGTCCGTAGCTCACAAAGTAAAATTTTTGCTCACAAGACCCCACAGCTTAGAGGGAGCACTGTTTGACATCCCAGCATGAGTTGGTTTGGGAGGAAGCTGCCTGGCCCTAGAGCTGCCTGGCCCCCCATGTGTGTTTGCACAGAAGCCATGAAGATGAAAAAAGACATTCAGGACAGAATTCAGTGATGGAGAGTGAGTGGCCAGATCTCAGGGCTGTCTTGCCATCAGTTTTTGAGCTACATCAATCCACAGACCCATGTAGGATTGGCCAATGCCAGTTTTAGAAATGCCACCCCTGATTTGGGGGGTAGAGCCTGTGGAGGACTCCACAGAGTCCACACTCCAAAGGAGCCATTTTCTCTAGGATGAACTGATCACTGCAGCCTAGAGATCAGTTGTAATTCCAGGTGTCCTGACCTGTGTTCCCTCTAAGCTGAGTTAGTGTGAGCTAGCTCACAGTTTCTTACCCTCCAGCTCACACATTTTTGTCTTAGCTCAGAAAGGATGGCTCCAGAGCAAACTAATTTATGCAGAAGCCAAATCGCTCGCTCACAACTTTAATGCCAGTAGCTTACAAAGTAGACTTTTTGCTCACAAGCCTCCACAGCTTAGAGGGAGCATTGGTCCTGACCTCACCCGGAGGCTGGCAATGCTATGGGAGTCCCATGTCCTACAGTTACCAGATGGGAGCAATCAGTTTCCCCTCTCCTTTCCAGACTCAGATTACAGTGGTCTTAAGGATGTGCAACTCATGGATTGCAGCACTGAAAACAGACTGATTAAATTCCTACAGGCTAAATTGGCAAAGATTATGTTCAGAAAGATATGCCAGGAAAAAAGAAGCTTTGGTAGAAACATTTCCCAACTCTAGTAAAGTCATGGGAAACTAGCCCAGACTAGTTAGGCAGCCCTTCATCATTTTCCCACTTTAGATAGCAACATACAAGTCTGCTTTTCCGTTTTAAAAACTCCCAAATGGTCAACAGAAAGAACATACAACAGCATATAAATTAGCGGCGCAACTCTGTGCATATAGAATGTGTTTGTATCCAATGCACATGGATACACATGTATTCAAGACAATAATTAGGGTAGTGGCTGTTTTTGAAAAATAAACATCATGATGATTTATGATCCACCAGTTTTACTTATATGCATAATACTATTATGTACAGAAAATAAAAACCAGCTCACAAGACCATATACGGGAGGATTTCATAATGAGTTATGAGGTTATCCAAATCGCACCATAAAGTTTGCTATAGCTATCAACTCCAGGCCTTCCCACACACCAGTAAGATGAGATAATTTGGTGCTGACTCACAATTTTCATTTCATGAAGACTAGAAAAACATCCTCCACTGTATTTTCTATAATGCAGAGGCTTTGTCCCAAGTGTTCAGCAGCTGATGTAATGTCTCTACCCCACAGACTGCCTTCTGTCAGCCCAATCCCATACATGAAAATGGGTCAGAGAGAATGAAGCACAGTTTATTATCACTTAGCACTGGCTGGTTTTGAGTACTGAATCAAAGAAATTTCCAACCCTACCAAGCCTTCTTTCTTTTATCTGCCTTCTTCCGATTCTCTTAAGCTTCTTTGCATCCAGATGTCTTATGAAATATATGTGCTAAGGACACGTGCTTATCTCTTCTACTCAGGTCCATGAAATATGCGAATTACAAAGTATTATATGTAAAATCTAGAAAACACTCAGACAGGCAATATTTTTAAGGCTTTTATTTTTTTAGTTAGGATTTGATTCAGTTAGGATTTAATTAGGACTTAATTTTAGGATTCGAAAGCCACATGCCAAAATATCTATGGAAGATTCTAAATGTTCTACTAGATACCTCATAAATGCAAACTATCTGCCAGGTACTCAAATCACTTGTTGAAGCCTGGATCAAAACTCATGGGCAATTTGGCCTTCAGTCTTAACATCACAAGCTCTTTGTCTCACGCATACAGTGTCTGATCTAGATTGCAGCTCTGCCTTCACCCTCCCTCCCCCTGTGTCATTTTACCAACCTGCAACGGAGTTGTGCTATTTGGTCCACTGGAGAAACCCAAGTATGCAGTTGTAGGTTTCCCCAAAAGGCTGCCAGAATAATTTCAGGTCAGAAGAACGGTGGGGAAAGGAAAGCTTAAGCCCTTTCTCCACATTTGCCACAGTCACAATTTGAACTGGACATAATCTGAACTGGAAATGGAATTTAGGAGAACTCCCAAGCCACATGTGACCCCAGGATAGGAAGACTGGATCCAACTTGTTTACTCCTTAATATTTATACAGTTACAAAATGAAAACAATCTTGTTGCAATCATCATCCATGCTAGCAGATCAAGTACAGCCAGACTAGTTCTGGAAGTCACATAAGAGTTCAGCATCACGGTCTCAGATTCCAAATGCAGACCATAAAACAAAAAATGATAGTCTTCTTTCTCCATTTGACTTTCTTTAGATTGTCCACAGAATGCATAATTAAACAGTGTTGGATATCAAGGGAGTTTATACTTACTAACTACATTGGCTTGCCCAGTGAAGATAGTATACTGCAATTCATAGGAAACCACACTGAATTCATCGTCTGAAGTCCAGTGCACTGTAATTGTGTCATAAGAAGCTGTACAGAGCTCTTCTCTAATTGTTGGAGGATTGGGAGCTGTAAAACAATTGATAGCAACTGTGAACATTTGTCATCCAATGCTTATATTCTTTTTATCCATTTATCACAACTACCATCTACTATAGACTAATTGGCATATTCTTAAAAGCTGCGTGCACTTGATCCTTTCATATACACATTTTAATCTTTCACTGCAATGTAGATATTTGGCAACATAGAAAGTACATACATAAATAAAAATAACCTCCTACACCATTTTGTGGATAAAAATTGCCTTGTGTGAGGGGTTTCAGTTCAAACATAATTAACCATTACAATATAGCACACACATTTAGGCCGATCATTTGTGCAAGATTCATAACCAACAGACACAGCTGTACATAGGAGGAGCTCTTTTTCTCCTGAACCAAATTGGATTTACTTCTGAGTAAATAATTCTTCCCATACAGCTGCTTACCTTTTCTTTCCTGAATCTTAATCTGAGTAAACATGAAGTGGATTACATTGCAAGTCTGCTATTCAGCCCTATAGGAATACACTCTTGAAACACCACTGACCGCAATTAGCAATGGCACAGTAATCTAACAGGTTCAGTTACCAACATGGATGTTGCCGTATCAGTAGCACACTATTACTCATACTCCTCCTTATATACAAATCCATCAAATATATATTGCATGAAAAGAAGACTGAAACAGGTGTGTTCTAGTCCCATTGCTTTTAAATTTATCTCTAAATAACATAATCAAGAGGATATAAGAACTGGAGTTTTTAGTACATTCACTTGTTTTTAGAAGGTATCTCTTCTTTTGTATGCTGATTATGCTATTTTGTTATCTCTCACTAGTATTAGTCTATGAAAATGTTGCTTGAACTCAATGAATATTATGAGTAAGAAACCTTAATTATAAACTATCTTAAGCTCACTTAGTCTTCAAGGTGTTACTAGACTCAAATTTTGCTCTACTGCTATAGAATAACCAAATATCTATGGCTCAGTGCTTATGTATCCATGGAATTCTAAAACTAGAGTATCTACCATCAGGCCTGTAGCCAGTGGTGGGTGCTGGGGGCCATGCCCCCTACAGAATCTGCAGTGTCCCCCCAATCTCCCCTTTCAGGTACCATTTTTCTAATCACTTTGCGCTGCTCCCTCGCTGGCCAGAAGCAATTCTCTAACCTTCCTTCCAGCCACCACCCCTTACCCAGGCCCAGCAGCAGGAGCAGGAAGGAAGGAGGGTCAGAGAATTGCTTCAGGCTGATGCAGTGGCAGCATGGCACAGCTGAAGCAATATATGACCCAGCATTGCCGCCAAGAAGCAGGAAGACCCGGCGACTGCCCACCGCTGCCGGGATAAGGAGCTACTCCTTTCCCTCCGCTGTGCCTGCACCATGGCTGGCGGGGGGAGGATCACATGACAATGTTTAATTTAATTTAATTGGCACCCCACAAAAATAAATTCCTGACTATAGGGCTGTCTCCCATGCCTTCTTTCCTTATTCTGAATCTAGATATGTATTTTTCAAGGTTATATTAACCTTTTAAAATATGAGTTCAGAGGTGGAGAAAATTATTTCGGAGCATGGATCTAACCATCCTCCTGCCTAAGGAGACTTCCTCCAACTTAAGCAGCTCTTACTCCAGGGCCCCTTAATTTGGAGGAAGGCTCCTCAAATTGGATGAAGGATTCAAACTTGATCCCAAAGGGAAGGTGCAGAATAAATATTTTATTAAATAAATAGCTAGATAAATCAACTGTGCTAAGTGGAGTGGTAGGATATAGACCCTCTATGTAGTTCACATGGTTTCTCTCTATGCATTGGTGGCTAAGAAAATTCGAACCTAAAGCTGTGTCTGACCAGGTAGTAAATTGTTCAAAGTCATTGTAGTTAACTCGCTTTATTGGAAGAAAATTTGAACTTTATAGTTTTTCTATCATGAATATTTACATTTTGCCATCTGCTTGATTTTTGTATTTTAAGTTCTATATAGTCTTTGTACTCCTAATTTCTGTCTTGAGATGTGCGTCTCATTGAAACCAGTGGAGTAATGAGATGACTTTGTATTTGCATGCATGCTCAATTGCACATCTAAATTTCACCCATCATTTCTAAAAGCAGGTATACCCAACATACTCTACAGAGATCCTATAGATATTCAAGACCATGACATGGAAAAGTAGAAATAAATGAAAAGTTTGGTATATCCACTGAATAGTGCCAATGTAGACAGTATGAACTGCCTAGTATTGCTTGATGGTATATGCGATAAGGTGAAATCATACTTTGTATTAGGGTTCCCTTTATGAATACTAGTGTAAACCCTCTTCATAAATGCTAGCAAAAATGAATATGGTCTGTATATGGGAATAAGCATATTAAAGGAGTGTGTTACTTATCACGTGGGCTCTGAAGTATAGTTAATAATAATGGATCAATCCTTCCTCACAGGATACACATTTTCTTAGTTCTAAAACAGTGTGCTACTGTTTGAGACTGCTGATAAATGCATTGTGGTATCAGCCACTTGAAAACCACAGCCATGGAAAAGAAAAACAGGTTGCTTACCTGTGACTGGTGATCTTCGAGTGGTCATCTGTGCATTCACACCCATGGGATCTAGTGCGCACGTGCTGGATCGATCAGCATTGTAGCAAGCTCTTTAATGAATTTTCACGTCCAGACCTCGGGCATGCGCAGGAACCCCACCGCGCATGCCCAGAGGGGAGGGCGTGGACATCCTGCCAGTTCCTTCAAACTGCCGCAAATCAACCCCTATGAAAAATGTAGAAGCTGACAGCAGTGGGGAAGCAGGGCGGGTGGTGTGAATGCACAGATGACCACTCGAAGATCACCAGTTACAGGTAAGCAACCTGTTTATTTCCGACGTGGTCTCTGTGCTTCACACCCATGGGAGATTAGCGAGCAGTGGCCTACCTGGAGAAGGGTGCTGGCAGGTCCTTACTGCGTAGCCGAAGATAGAATGCGACATCCCATGTCTGTATTAGAGTTCTTACGGACGTCTAGGGCGTAGTGCCTTATGAAGGTATTAGGCGTGGCCCACGTAGCGGCTTTGCCTATGTCCATTAGGGGAACTCCCTGGAGAAAGGCAGTGGAAGCCGCAACAGCTCGGATTGAATGGGCCCTGATAGGGCCAGGCAATGGCTGTTTGGCGATCAGGTAGCAGAGGCGGATGAGACCCGCAATCCACCTCGAGAGGCGCTGAGCCGTGATGCGAGTCCCCAGCCTTGCTGGTGCGTATGAGACGAACAGCTGGGAGTCACGTCTTGTTGGACAGGTTCTGTTCAGGTAGAACAGGAGCACATGTTTCACATCTAAGGTGTGTAACAGTCTGTCCTCCGAGGATGTTGGAGCCAGGAAGAAATCCGGGAGAAAGACTTCTGCCTGTAGGTGGAACTCTGACACTACCTTTGGCTGGAACGAGATGTCAGGGACGAGGCGGACACTGTCTGGCAAAAAGGACAAGTAAGGCGTGTCGTGTCTGAAAGCCAGTATTTCTCCAACTCACCTAGCAGAGGTGACAGCAATCAGAAAGGCCGTCTTCCATGACAGGAATTTCAGGTCGCAAGTTGCGAGTGGTTCAAAGGGTTTCCTCGTGAGCTGATGAAGAACTAGAGGAAGGTCCCAGGGAATGACAGGAGTTTTGACAGGAGGGTAGAGATGCAATAAACCTTTTAAAAAACATTTGGAAAGCGGATGACCAAACATTGTGCATCCATCAACTTGAACATGGTAGGCTGAAATTGCGGCCAAACAAACTCTTAATAATGAGTGGGAAAGTCCCGAGTCTGTGAGGGACAGGAGGAATTGGAAAACTTTCTCGAGACCCGCAGAGGTGGCTCGAGGGGCATCATCACCCAGGGAGGAACAAAACCTTTGCCATTTATAATGGTAGGACTTCTGCATAGCAGGCTTTCTGGCATTTAGCAGGACGTTAGCTACTCGGGTGGAAAGCCCGTTGACATTATTCTCCATGCTGTCAATTTCAAGTGAGGTACGTCGTAATGTAGGAGAGGGGAGTCGGACAGGAAGAGGAAGTCCTGTGCCAGAGGGAATTGGTGGTATGTTCCCGCCGACAAATCAAGGGCGGTCGAAAACCATGGTTGTCTCGGCCACCACGGGGTTATTAAGATGCAGTCTGTCCCGTCGCTGATTATTTTGCAGGGGTAGCGGAGGGAAGAGATAGAGAAGTTCCCCGGACCACGGGTAGAGGAGACTGTCCCCTAGAGACTGTGGGTCCCTGGCTCCTCGGCTGCAGAACAGAGGGCACTTTTTGTTCGCCCTGGTGGCAAATACATCGACTTGGGGAAATCCCCACTTGCGGAAGAGTGGGAGGAGGTAGATTGGGTTCATTTCCCACTCGTGGAGACTGAGGCCCACTTGACTTAGATGGTCTGCCTGCACATTCAGGCGTCCTGGGATGTGAGTGGCTATCAAGAAGACATCATGGGTGATACAAAGGTCCCATATCTGGATGGCAAGGTTGCAGAGACGTACGGAGACCGTGCCTCCTTGTTTGTTGATATAGCTGAGTGCAGTGGTATTGTCTGTGAGTACCGTAACACATTTCTGTTTGATCATTGGTAGGAAGCTCGTGATAGCGAACTGTATTGCTAGCAGTTCCAGGAAGTTTATGTGCTGACCTCTTTTCGTGGGTGTTCCACTCGCCTCCGACACAGAATCCCATCACGTGTGCACCCCAGCCCAACAGGGAGGCATCCGTGGTCAGGGTAAATTGGGGTGATGGACGATGGAAGGGCGCTCCCTGGAAGAGATTGAAAGGGACAGTCCACCAAAGTAAAGAGTCTCGGAGGTTGGGAGGAGGGGTTAGGACGACCGTATGTGCGGGTTTTGTTGGGTCGTACTTGCGGATGAACCTCAGTTGTAGACGCCGCATCTTTAGTCTGGTGAAGACGAGGACCGACATAGTTGTGGCCATAAGGCCGAGCAGTCTCTGAATTTGGAAAGCTGTGACTGAAGGCTGGGTACGGACGACATTGGTTAAGGAAATGATG